ATTATTGGAATTTTCATTATTTGCCACTTATTCTCAAAATAGAACAAAATTGATTTCATTTTAAAACGTTTCCTTCCATCAGTCGACAAGGGTGACACACGGTTCTTACAAAAAAAGCACAAAATAATACACTCTTCTGCCCTTTCATAGTGACTAATATACTTACGATGACGAAAGTTCGTCTCAAGGGGATTACAAAAGTGCGTAGTGGTGACATTAACGATTGCCGCCGGTGGTTATCTTCAGACATTCGTGTTTATGTCACGGTTTTCAAATAATTTCAACACGCAGCGTATTGTTCACCGCCGCCGGCGTAGCAGTTATATATTATTTGAAAACAATAATTTTCGATATTAATTTTCTTTTCGCAAAGTTCATTTATTTATATCAAAACGAATCTCACGAATCTCGCTGTTATCGCTCCTGCATATAGTGTACCCTAGTGGGACGCTTGCGGCTGTTTTTCATATAACTTGCGATTAATAGATTAAAACTAATAATATAAAGCAACACGTTAACTCTTTAGTGGCAGTTTAGTTAACTGTTTTATTCATAACGTACTAGAATGCAGGATCAGAAGTTACAAAAATTTTATGAATTAATAATTATATATATATATATAATTATTAATATATATATATACATAAGTATAATGCAAATTTAGTTGTGTCTCAATGTAATGTTTTGAATTTTGCCAATTTAGCTTTTGGACGTCCGCCAATATATTGTCTAAATATAACGTTTTTGGAAAACGCTCTATCGTTTTTTATGAAGTATAAATATGATGGTTAATGTTTATGAGGACAAGGTTAAGTTATATCCTATGTATCTTATATGTACGGACAAATCACAAAACTTTCATTTATTACTAAGTGAATATTTATTTAAGATATTTAATGTGTGTCTGTATAATATGATGATCAAAAATATATTTTTATTTGAATGCATATTATAAAGATATTTTCGTAATTTTTATTTTTATTATCAATTATTTTTTATAGTCTTAACGTTTCACGCGTTGCTCATGCTTGGTTTTTCTTCTTCTTTTGACGATTCGTGCAATTTTAAATTTAGTTTAACAAACACTGACCGGTATATTTTTAAGCAACATGGAATCAAATAATGCTGTAAAGAAACGGTCAGCTTGTATATTTAGGATTTCTTTTATAAATATTTTCATTCCTTTTTTTATACAATATACTCCTGTAAACTTTGAAACTTCTACGTACTATATCAAATATAATTTTAAATTTCCCATTTTTTTTTATTTTTTATTTTTTTTTTATGAAAGTATAAAAAATCTTCACAGAACTCTAATCAATAGGTTTCCATGTAAAAAGAAACTTAAATATTCACAAATTCGTAACATTGCCATAAAGTGGTTCGTGCTTTTCATCGATAGCGTGGTTTTTGAGTTACACAAAAACGTTTTAACTCTTAATATACTTACCCGTAATGTTGAACAAACCATCTGTACTGTAATCTATATATTATTATTGCTTCGCGTTTCTTTATCTTTCTACTAATTTAAATTTACTTAAGTATTTTTTTGATTAGATGGATTTAGATTAAAAGTATAATCCTTTTTAATCCCATTTTTGAAAATGTAATATTTTAAGTAGCTTTATATGGTTATGTAATTTATATTGAAGATATGTAAGTACATTAGCTAAATCAAATCGTTCATATTATTAAATTTATTGCATTTAGAATGTGTACTAAAAATAATGTCAGTGCATTATTTTTAAAATATATTTTATTAAATTATTATAATTTTAATAATATATTTCGTTATTATGATTATGTTTTACGATAAAGTAGTTAACTTTAATTTTATTTAGGTGTTAAAAAATGGTCTTAAAATATAATAAACATTAATTTAATAATAAAAATAAGACGATTTCGTAAACCATTGATAAAATATAATTTTAATAAATTAGTTTGTCATGTCAGTCATAAATAACCAATATTTTAAATTTTTCAAATGTCACTGATGCTTATGAAACCACTTATTGAAGTTTTGATAGAAAAATATTGACCAATTTTCGAAGTAACAAAACGTTAACAAAGTAATTCATGGGGAGAGGAACAAATACCTATTTCTTCCAATATAGACAATAAAAGTATATTTATATATATATTTCTTGTTAATTCTTACTGACAACTTCTGAAGTATTTTTTAAATTATTTTATATTATGTTTGAACAAAGTGTTTGAATACGTATTAAATTAAAGTATTCATTAATTATAACTCTTTTATATTCTAAACATAATTTATCAGGGGCGTATATAGATTTACTTCTCTGGGGGGGGGGGGGGGGGACTCAAATTTTTTATTTAATACAGGTTCAAAATGTATAAGTAAAATTGTTGGTAATATTTAAATCAGGTGAATCCTTAATATTTGTAGTTCTTTTTTTTAACATCTGTTTGTGTTTTGAAAGTTATGTTTGTATCTAATTTGATTTTTCACTAAGTATGGACTTGACAATTAGCCCAATTCAGTATTTACAGCCACGCGTAATTTGATTTCGTTATAAAATGATCCACATTAAAAAAATTTGAAATGTATATCTCACATATAATCAATTCCTCAAATACTGATTCAAGGGGGGCAACCCCCCCTCGCCACCCCTGAAAACGCCCGTGTAATTTATTGGATTATGATATTAATTTACTTGCTACAAATTATAATGTCTTAGATTAATTTAAAAATGTTATTAAGTTTTGTATTTTAGGTCATCGTTCTTTGATTTGTTTTATTTTACATTATTACTCATCAATTTGTCTTTGTAAATACATTGTTGTTAATATTAATTAATGTTTAAAATACTTAAATCAAATAAAATGTTTATTTTCTATTTATTTATTTTTTACGGTTTTCATTATATAAATTATTATTTCTAATTTTTTATAGGATGTAATTTAATATTCCAACAACTGAATATTTTTGAAGAAATTATATTATTATCATAATTCATATTTTGGTACAAATATTATTATTTTGCTAAAAAAAATTATTGAAAAAATTAATTTAATATAAACCCTATGTACATTTATATTAGTTAACTACTCTTTATAAATCATACTCCAAGTTGATTAGTCTATTTGTGTATATTCATTTCGCAACTCAGTTAATTTAATCAATTTCTGCCGTAAGTAATAAATTATATTCAGGCATATTTGATGTTATATTATTCAGTGAAGATGTTAGATGTATCTGTATAATATTTTTGTCACGCATCATTGATTATTAAGTAAGTTGTCATAAAAACAATTATAAAAGTACATCATTGTTAAACAATTCTTTAAAAAATGTTCTTAATATTTTTTACAGTACATGAGTTCTTTTTGGTATAGAAAGTAGTTGACAAGTCAGCCATTTTATTTCTTAAAATTACATTGTTCTCAATCAGTTTATTGGTATATTAATACTTATGCGGTTGGTTGGTTGAAGTTTAATTTATTTTTAAATTCACCTTTAGGAATATTTTGTTGATAGTGTATTGTATTCGAGATTATTGACTAACACATAAACGAAACATGCACGTTCCTGTCTACGAATTTGTTTAACTACATTTAAGTGTATTAGGTTAGGTGGTACGCACCGTTACCAGCTTTGCAAATTAAACTTTATGTCGTGTCTTAGCAAAATTTGACAGGATTTATATTGTACGTTAATCACTAGGGCAGGGTAGCTTGTGTTAAATTTAACCTCGGTAATAAATGTTACAGACGACAGTACACGCATTAATCATAAAACGATTACAAAAAAATTGTTTATATTTTGCCTAATCCACTCTAGTTATGAATATTCAATGATGAAATTGATGTATTCAACAAGATAAGAATTGGTATAATGCTTTTGTAATTTTAGAGGCATTTTAAATAATATTACTTAGTTCTGAAAGCTTTGTAATTCAAAGTTTTTTTATTGATAGAGTGAGGTTTTGGATTGATTTTCTCATACGAAAAATAGACGACCTTTTTATTTTCATACTCGTATTTTCATATGAAGTGTAATTTTTAAGTTGTTATCTACGTTTTTCCAAATTGATATCTTTGAATAATTAATGATTTCTAAATTAAAAAATGTGCAATTTAAATTTATGATACCACTATTTATTTTTAGATTAGAAATATATTTAACTTGTTTAATTATTCCCATATTTTTCATGTATTTATTTTATGTGTATAAACATATTAATTATTTATAAGATGCCAAGTTAATATTTGTTTTTAAGTTTTTATTTTTAAAACAATTTGAACTTTTTAATTCTATTTTTTAATTTTTAATAGTTAACATTTGTATTTAAAAATATCAATCGTGTATTAAATAAAAAAAAGTAAAAAAATTTGAATGGTAAAAATATACACAATGTATACTTTGTGGAAAATAGATAATATAAGAAATATATAAGTTCTACTTCCTTGGTTAGAAATAACCAAAAAAATGATAAAAGTTATTAAATAATAAATAAATCACTAATTATTATATGTTTAATAATATTACTTATTTAAGCTTTTAAAAAATATGTATAAATGTATATAAAACTTGCGTTAGCATGTAAAATCTTGAAATAAAATGTCAAGTTTGAATTTTGGATCCAAAAACTCCAGTAATGCCCTAAACAATGAAGAAAATTACTTTAAAATTAAAAAATGCAAAAAAATGCAAAATAAATTTTCTTATTCTCATTTAAAAGTATATGTTGCACATTTGTGATCAGACTAGCATTGTAACATAGCCACCTCTGGAAAAAAAAATTAAAAGTATATCGAAATCCCAGCCTTAATTATTACTATGTAAAAAAAAAAAAAAATGTTTCCTATTTCTAAAAAATATTTATTAATATTTAAATTATTGATAATTAAAAATTAAAATAAAATATTTTATTATATTATATAATTATATGTGTTCAACATATTAAAAAAAAAAAATGTCAAATTTATGTTAAAAAAACATTAATTTAAAAATTATTTTTTTTTTTTTGTTTCAGGTCAGTATCTGCTTATCTTCGGGCATTGGCATTGAGCCCAAATAATGCTGTTGTACATGGAAATTTGGCTTGTGTTTATTACGAACAAGGGTAAGTATTATTTTGAATTATTATTTTAAATTTAGTATTTATGTTTTTCTTGAAAACAACATTTATTTATTTTTCTTTTTTTTTCTTTTTCAGTCTCATTGATTTGGCAATTGATACCTATCGCCGTGCAATAGAATTACAACCCAATTTTCCTGATGCATACTGCAATTTGGCAAATGCTTTAAAAGAAAAAGGCCAAGTAAATAAGATTTTTTTTAATTCTGTAGTTTTAATTACTATAATAATAATTATAATTACAGGTAACTGATGCTGAAGAGTGTTATAACACAGCATTGAAATTATGTCCTACACACGCAGATTCTCTAAACAATTTGGCAAATATAAAACGCGAACAGGGTCATATAGAAGAAGCAACTCGACTATATTTGAAAGCTTTAGAAGTATTTCCAGAATTTGCTGCTGCTCATTCCAATTTGGCTTCTGTTCTTCAACAACAAGGCAAATTAACAGAAGCTTTAAACCATTATCAAGAAGCTATTCGTATTCAACCAACATTTGCAGATGCTTACTCAAACATGGGAAACACTCTCAAAGAAATGCAAGATATACCGAACGCTTTACAATGTTATTCAAGAGCTATACAGATAAACCCAGCATTTGCTGATGCTCACAGTAATTTGGCTTCTATTCACAAGGATTCTGGAAATATACCAGAAGCTATTGCTTCTTATAGAACTGCTTTGAGACTAAAACCAGACTTCCCTGATGCTTATTGCAATCTTGCACATTGTTTACAAATTGTGTGTGACTGGACTGATTATGAACCACGTATGAAAAAATTGGTTAGCATTGTTGCTGAACAACTGGAGAAAAATCGTCTACCTTCTGTCCATCCTCATCACTCTATGCTGTATCCATTATCTCATAATTTTAGAAAGGCAATTGCTGGACGTCACGCTGCATTGTGTTTGGAAAAAATTCAAGTTTTGCATAAACCTCCTTACAATTACGTTAAAGATTTAGCTCCTGGCAACCGCTTACGAATTGGATATGTTTCATCAGATTTTGGTAATCATCCTACATCACATTTAATGCAATCAATACCAGGTTTGCATAACAAAGACAAAGTTGAAATATTCTGTTATGCTTTATCTGCGGATGATAACACTACATTCAGATCCAAAATTGCTAGGGAAGCAGAACATTTCATAGATTTATCAACTGTTAGTACCGTTAAAGCATCAAATCTTAAGAAATTGTTAATTATATTAAATGTAAATATTCTCATTTTGTGTTACAGATTCCTTGTAATGGAAAAGCTGCTGATAAAATAAATAGTGATGGTATACATATTTTGGTAAATTTGAATGGATACACTAAAGGTGCTAGAAATGAAATATTTGCATTGCGTCCTGCTCCAATACAAGTAAATAATTAACTTAGTATTATTAAATTAAAAAGTTAAATCAATAAACATTTGTTATTTCTGTGTTCATAATTGTACTTAATTCATTTTTAATTTTTAGGTAATGTGGCTTGGATATCCAGGTACCAGTGGAGCTCCTTTTATGGATTACTTAATTACCGATAGGGTTACATCACCAATCGAACTTGCAGCTCAGTATAGTGAAAAATTAGCTTATATGCCTCATACATATTTTATTGGCGATCACAGACAAATGTTTCCTCACTTGTGCGAAAGAATTATTTTATCTGACATACTGGCCTGCAATAAAAATGTTGCTGATAATGTAGCTGTCATAAATGCTACAGACTTATCTCCAATTATTGAAAACACTAATATTAAAGAAATTAAACAAGTTATTGTTTCTGAAATTGCTGATTCTAAATTGACTAGACCGGTTGAGGTTAATTTTAAAGTAGCTGAATTACCAACTACTACACATATTGAGGTAATAACATTTAAAAATAAATTTTTAATTTTCAAATTATTTCTAGTCCTATAGTTTTATTTTTTTTTTAGACTATGATTGCTTCTGGACAGATTCAAACTTCAGTAAATGGAGTTGTAGTACAAAATGGATTGGCAACAAATCAAACCAATAACAAAGCAGCTACTGGAGAAGAAGTGCCAAAGAATATTGTTATTACTACACGTCAACAGTATGGTTTACCAGAAGAGGCAGTGGTTTTTTGTAATTTTAATCAATTATACAAAATAGATCCCAATACTCTTACTATGTGGGTCAATGTAAGAAGAAATTAATTTTTATTATGCGTTTAATCTACTTTTGTACTTATATAAACTTCTGAATTAAGATATTGAAAGCAGTTCCCAATTCTGTATTATGGTTGCTACGTTTCCCAGCGGTTGGTGAAACTCATATTCTTAATACTGCTGCTAATTTGGGTATTGGGCCTGGCCGTATATTATTCAGTAATGTTGCGGCTAAAGAAGAACATGTACGTAGAGGACAATTGGCTGATGTATGTTTGGATACTCCTCTTTGTAATGGTCATACTACTAGTATGGATGTATTGTGGACAGGCACACCTGTAGTTACCCTACCAGGTATTTACAAATTTTTAGTTTTATTGAACGTATTATGATGTGTCATGTATTTTAGGAGAAACATTAGCATCCAGAGTAGCTGCATCACAATTGGCAGCACTTGGATGCCCTGAACTCATTGCTAGGAATAGAGAAGAATATCAAGACATCGCTATTAGATTGGGAACTGATAAAGAATAGTATGTATTTATTTTTAAATATATATTATTAATTTTTTAGTATTTATTTTTTATTTTAATTTATATAATTATACTAGCTGTCCCGACACGGCGTTGCCCGCGTATTAGTTGGTTTTTTAGCATGTATAAATTTTTAAACTGTATAAATAAAAATAACAAACAAAACTCGAGACGGCGCGATTAACTTCAAGCCAAACCAAAATATGAGAATGAGGTAAACCTCGCTTTTGCCACTCAATAAAATACAGCCAGCAACGTGTGTTACCAAAAACTGAATATTTTACGATTAAATTAATTAAAGATTTTAACTTTTGTTTAAACACACGTGTAACGATATCGTGACGATGTATTGATTGTTGGCCTGGTAATAACAAACTTTTTATTTCTTCCCAATTTGGATTACACGTAAATGTAACAAACAAATCAGGTCGACCGTAATGACGTACATAAGTCATCGCATCTTGTATGTATTCCTGCATGCTCCGTGGACTGCCGATGTAGCTTGAAGGTAAAATACATGCAGTTCCGATGTCATTGGCGTTTAAATTTTCATTGATGTTTCCGGTGATAGAAATACACCGAAATACACCATGCAATTATACACATTTATTAAAAAGTTAATTAAAATATTTAAAATATTAAAAAATTTGAAAAAAAACTATCCTATATTTTAAGTTGGACCAAATTACACACGGTGTAAAAAATTTCATCAAAATCGGTCCAGTAGTTTCGGAGATTATCGCGAACATACATCGTGACACGAAATTTTTATATATATAGATATTATATATATATATATATATATATATACGTATATTTGTATTTATTTTTCAGTTTGAAAACTATGAGAGCAGAAGTCTGGCGAGCACGGTGTGAAAGTCCATTGTTCAATTGTTCAATTTATGCAAATGATTTGGAAAGGCTGTATAGGGCAATGTGGGATAAGAACCAACGTGGTGAAAAACCTGATCACATCCTTTCATTAGAAAATTATTAAACTTTTTGTGAGTATAGATACTATTTGAATTGGAGTGATTCAATATAGTGTTTTTTATTTTTGTCTATATACTTAAAAAATGGTGCAAGGTGTGAACTGAAATTTAGGATTGAAATCTATTAAATTACATTAATATTTAAATATTTTGATAATAATTTAAAATGAAATTGGCATTAAGATTTTTAAATATCATTGTATACATTATAAAAAAAGAATCTGTGATTATCATTATAATACTGATGCGAGAATTGGATTGATTCCATATGACATTATCTATAACCAATATGAGATAAAATTAACAATATCCACTATGTCCAGTGCTCTTTTATCTAAATGTATATGTCTAATTTATTCATATAGATTTGTTAAAAACTGTTATAGATAGAGAGTAGAAGTTTCATTCAATTTTTATGATAGAAAACCAGATAACTTTATTCTTGGTGAGCGTAATAGGTATTGTAAGCCGGAAACAATATTTTAATTTTATTAATTATAACTTAAATTGAGCTTATGATGTTATTTATATGAAATTTCATCTGATGATAAAAATTATTCACATTTTTAAACTAATTGTTGAAGGTACATTAAATTTAGGATGTACAGATGATGTTAATCATTATAAATAATTTTTATACATTGCTGTAAGTGGAATGATAACAAAACAATTGCATACAAAATATTAAATTTTTATTGTATGTATAATAAATATATAAATGTTTTAAATAAGTAAATATAGAATTATGATATTTATTATTCAATTTATTGTTTAAACATTTAAAAGTAGTTAAAAGTAATGGTTATATTTCATCAGTATTAAGTTTATACAAGTTAATTATTAATGTACATTATATAACTTATTTATTTTTTCATTGTTTACTGTTTCTTTATATTCTAAACCTATTTTTTTAACACCGTTCAATAGGTTAAAAAAAATAAAAAATATACTAAATAAAAATAAATTTTTTGATTCAAAATCAAGAGTAATTACTAATAGTGAAATGATAAAATGTTGATTAAAATAACTTAAATTAAATATTTACACAGAGTTTTAAATTACACTTGTTGTATTAAGTACAAAATTATATTATTATTTTCGGTATATTAATGATTTAAAAAATATATTTCGATGCGAGAAGTGGAATGATTAATTGTTGATTAAAATTAATAAAATGAAATACACTGAAATATAATATGATGTACGAATGGATTAATGATTATTTAATTATAAATCGATGCAAGTAGTGAAATGATATTTTTTATGAATTGCAGTTGAATTCTGAGATCTATTTGTGTGATCAGTTCAATAAAAAACCACTCGCTGTATTGTCTATCATATCTGTTTTTTATTTATAATTTGATAAAAACTTTTCAAATATCAATTCCTTTTTTTTTAATTAACACATAATTGCATTTAAATCTAAATTTTGGTTAATAAATTATTTAACACCAGAAATATGTATGGAAGTATAAACATTTACTATGATTAAAATGTTTCTTTGTTATTGAAGGTATAAAATCGAAAGTTTTAAATTACATTTGTTGTATTGACCACAAAATTATATTATTTTTTCGGTATATTAATGATTTAAAAAATATATTTCGATGCGAGAAGTGGAATGATTAATTGTTGATTAAAATTAATAAAATGAAATATACTGAAATATAATATGATTTACAAATGATTGATGATTAATTAATTATAAATCGATGCAAGTAGTGAAATGATATTTTTTATGAATTGCAATTAAATTCTGAAATCTATTTGTATGATCAGTTCAATAAAAAACCATATGCTGTATTCTCTATTATATCTGTTTTTCATTTATAATTTGATAAAGACTTTAAATTAACAAATCATTGTATATAAATGTCGATGCCAAATTAATTGTGATATTTTAATTTTATCCAATATGATAAAATCAATTGAATTAAAATATTAAGGTATACAAACAGGTTAATGATTAAAAATTTAATATAACGATGCAAGTAGTGGAATGATAATTCAAATGATTTTTAATTTATTATGAAACCTGTTATTATGTACAAAATAATTTCTCAAAACATCTACACTTATTTGAATAATATTACATGAGTAGAATTTTGTATTAATATGTTAAATTTAAGTAATAACTATTATTTTTATTGTTTCAGAAAAATATTGGAGTGAAGTTACATTTGACATCAATTATCTCGTTGGATTTGTTCTAAATCATATATATATTTACATTATCCATCTCTTTGAATCTTAAAGAGTTAGTTTTCTTAATCATTTATACACTTATGTATAAAAAAAAAATTCTTTTTTATACTAGTTTCTTTTTATTTTTGTCCTTGTATATAATAATTAAGTCATCACCATAGTTGTAATAAATGTAGAAGAAAATCTATTATACTATGGAATTTATATTGTGTAATTTTTTTTTCTTTTGTTTTTGTCAATGATTTTTATTGATATTGACTAATACATTACAATGTTTTAACAATAAGTTTGTATAATATGGTAAAGTATGAATGCTAATATTCATAATTAATATAAAGTGATTTTTGTCACATATGGGTATAATTCAAAATCGCATTATTTACTATTATTAGAACTTGACATTTTGTATCCATTATATGTTATACAAAAAATCAATATACCAAATATATAATCAATAACATTTTTAAATTGAAAATTGTATCGCCAAAAAACTGGAAGATACGTGCAGTTTTGTTGTGGTAGAAAAAAATGTGAAGTCATCTCTATAACTGATTATTATATTAAAATATTTATGTTATCCACTCCTGATCATAAATGATTTTGTATTGTACAAACTACTAAATAATAATTAAAATTTTAAATATACATATATGAACTTTAATTGTTTTATTATTTTAAAAATAATAAACCGATATTAATTACCAGATTTTTTACTATTGCTGTCTATGGTGTTATAGACTTAAGTTTTATTACAAGTCTATATATTACACGTGTGTTGTAAATAGCTACTCATTGTACTGAATATAAAACCATGCACTTTGAATGTATCTTAAATGTGTATTTGGAAAAACTACTTTCTTTTAATTAGTTCTTCCAGTTATCTATTTCACGTCTTTGGACAGATGTTTTTTAATACTCATGATATTTAAGTATAAGAGTTAAGAAATCTTTCAACAGGTTTTATGAATTAAATCTTAGTTACATATCGTTTACCAGTGTGAATTTCCTCAAATATATACGTCAACAAACATTACATACCTAATGCACATTCATATCATTTTTTATTTAAATAACTATGAAAATCATTGTTTTCACTATGCATATACTCAAGTCTCTGTAATTTATTATTTTTTATCTGAAAATATTTTGCCCAATATAAAATCATTAAAAAGTCACAAATAAATGTCATGATCATTTTTGTCTATTCAACAAATGCAAAATTCTAATGGCAGTATAGGTAATATGCATTTGTACATGCTTATTAATGTTTTCACTTGATCTTTTCTATTTTTAATAAGTAGGGTTCGGGACTTAGTGCGTTTGTATTTTCTTTAATAATAACTGTAGAAAATAAACAGAGCAAGTACACATTTGTGTTATAACAGACTGAACAACGAAAATTTGAATTGTATATTTTAGCATATTTTGCCGTTTTTCAGACAGATTTTTGAAATGTAATAGTTGTTGTTTAGAGCATATTTACTCATTTTTATGTTTTATGCAAAGTAAATTTATTCTGAAAGTTACCATTTTCTTTTTTTATTTAAATTTTTTATAATTCTTAACCTTTTTTTTCGTTGTAGGAGTAAAGGCCGAAGAAAATTAATTCAATCGAACAGAGTAGTATTATAGTTTTAAACTTATAGAGTTTTTGTTGTAAAAAAAAAAATAACTAAGCAAATAAATCGTATACATTTAAAATTTAATAAGACAAATTAAAAAAAAAAAATAAATAAAAATAATTACCTACTAATATAAAAAAAAAGATGTTGCATATTTCGGTTATTTTAATGGCATATTTCCTACGATTTGTGTGCAAAAGTCCCGAACCCTAGTGATAACATAGGCGAATTATGTTCTAACATCTACCTTCCAAGGAGTGGATAACTACCATCAGTGCCGGATTTAACCATTGTGCCGCTTTAAGCACTAATAAAATTGCCACATTTTTATATAAATATTTTTTCTAGTCTAAAAAATGTTATTAAACCGTACGATTATAGTTGTTTTCTTTATTACTTAAAATTTTAATGATGTAAAATAATAATATACAGCTGTTATAAAAATGCATTCATACATTCATATGAAAAACTTAATTATAAAAATATGATGTAAAATATAATGATACAAAACATTGTAGTAAAAAATGCTTAAATAGTTCATTTTTAAACTATATTCAAAATTAAATAGTTAGTGCCAAGTACCCATCGGGTACTTATATTTATAATTAGTTGCATTTGTTTTAGTTCTAGTTACATATAGAAAAAATTAAATTTTAAAAATTATTTCCCGCCCTAAGCACTATAGCTTATAGTGTTTATCGGGAAAACACTGCACTGAGTACAATATACGCACATTGTATGTCGGCTGAAGTGTACGTTTTAATGAACAATAAAGCCACGGCGGTCCTGTCGACTTCTGCCCTCGACGTGTTCCGTCGAATTAATCGTCTCGTTAGATAAAAGTCAAAGCCCCGTCAGTGCGGATACACTAGTACGCAGCGGGATTTCGACATTTCCCTAATCTCTGTGTATTTTAACATTGCGTCCGGTCCTCGCGATCCTCATCTCGTTTTCAGGGTATGGTGGTTTGGACTAGGGCTGGCTCAAGGTATAGGCGAGCTAGGCACCTGATCAGAGCGGCACTAGTAGGGGCGGCATTTTCAAAATTGACTCGTACATTTTTTTTTTAGTTCTATCGGTGTTTTATAAGAAAAATATTTAAATTAATTCATTCGTGAAAATCACTTAACTATATAATACAATAATATTGGCTAAAGTCAGGGCTCGGAAGTTGCAGCATTAAAA